AAATATATTCTTTTACTGAAACCAAAGACCATGCGTTGTTCTTGCCAATATCAACAAAGTCCTAAGGCCCTCCTCTTATTTTTTGGAATAGCTTTCTCTAGGACAAGGAACTGGAGAGTGAAAAGCTTCAAGCATTATGTTGTTTTGTTGTGTGTTTTTTTCCCCTTTTCCTGGCTCATACAGTGAATTGATGGTAAATATTGGGCAAGTGGTTTGACCACTTAGTTCCTCATTTTCCTCATTACCAATACCCTCTTGTTTATAAGGCATTCTGAAACATTAGCACAAAAGATGTGCAAAATGTTCCTATTTTAACATTGACTGAAATGGAATACTTCATAATTGGTTGAATCTGGTAAAATTGTTTTCAGAGGTCATCATTACTTTTCCTGTAATTAGCCTGTGTGTCTCAGGCTCATTCCATGGAAGCAGTGAAACAATTGCTGGAAAGGACTGATGCTGCTCAGTGAGTTAAGTTGACTGGGTGGCTTCACATGCCATTCTATTTCCTATCTCAATGAGCATAAGTGCTATGTTATCTATCAGCAAGAGGCCCTAGAAGCAACACCTGCTTTTAGCTACTAATACTGGTCACTATGCAGGCTTGAGCTTCCATCCCTGGCTAAGCATTCACTGTCCAAGTATTGCTTTCTCTAGTCTAGCCACACACTAGGGAAGGTTCCACAGCATTTTCACCTTGGATTACAGGAAAACTCATAGTATATTTGGCCTAGGAGTGTGGGAAGATGAGTAGGAAAAAATAATCATTCCAACAGCTGTTGGTTCTCCTCCTACTTCAGCATTATTCCGAGTCCAAGCATTATTCCAAGTCCAACACAGACACCCAAGAGAGTTGGTCTAGCCTGGGACAACCCTATGGGGAGAGTTGAAAAGGTTTGAGGGGGCCAAGGTCCTGCTATAGTTGGTCCTAAATTGTCCTTATTCCAGAAGTCCTAATTTAAGGCTGAACTAAAAGTTCAATTACATTCCATGTTAAGTCTCGAATAAAACTAAATTCCTATGACCACTCTCAATCCAAAACCTTTTATTGGCTCCAGAAATCCCCCTGTTGTCCTCATGTGAAGCTGGTCTAGTGATGAGTCACTGGATCAATTTCCCCAGGGCCACTCCAAACCATCAATTCATTAATTGCATAAACATTTAGGATTCTACATGTGATAAGTTCTATGAAAGATATAAATCTATATAAGAGAAGCACCTCTCCCACCAAGTAGTTTACAGTGGAGTAGGTGTTGTGTAACCTAACATTCCACCCTCAGAAGTAGAATCCAACCACCATTTTAGCTTCTGAGAGTAAAAGGATAGTAGAAACGGGCATTCATCTAGCAACTTTAAACTAGTAACTGTTGGACTTCCCCCGAGAATCTGGAAGTATGGGGTCTGTTCTCAGCTGGGCCACTGATTCAGCCTGGGAAAATCATTTAATCTCTTTGTACAGTTTTCTTCTCTAGGATATGTTTTCCCCCAACCTAAAAGATATTTCCCGAAGTTGCTGTTAAAGCTGTTTAGAAGTGCTGTGTGATACAAATGATTTCAATACTATAATGACCAAGATCTAATTCAGGTGGTTATGGTCACCTTATATCATGATTTAGTAACTGCAGTTACATTTTAGCCTGCAAATGACTTAACAAGAGTTATTTAGAAAGACCTCTAAAAAAATCACAAAATACTAGATTTGAAAGGGACCTGAGAAGTCATTTAATCCAATCCTGTCATTTTACAGATAAGGAAATTGAGATTCAGAATGTTATGCTGATTTGACAAAGAATACACAACTAGTAAGCAGGACTTGGACTTGAACCCAGATCTTCTAGTTCCAAGGGCAACATTGCTGCCACTCTACACCAAGCAGTACCCTGGTATCCTTTGATTGCTAAGGCATCTTTAAAGTCTGAAGTTATACAGGGGTGGGGAACCTGCGGCCTCAAGGCCACATGTGGCCCCCTAGGTCCTCAAGTGCGGCCCTTTGACTGAACCCAAACTTCACAGAACAAAAGATAGCCTGATTTAAGCAAACAAATCCTTTTATTAAGAGAGATTTGTTCTGTGGCCACATATGGCCCCCAGGCGCAGGTTCTCCACCCCAGGACCATTCCCTGTCTGTATCTAAGACTATACCTACCCATCAAAGGAAGATGGATAAATCTTTTGGAGACAGAGACAGACACCATATGCTTCCCAAGTTGTTGGATGTGAGGAGGTATGGAAAACTGCACAGAATTCATTTCTTTCCCAGAAATCTCCACAAACAATGGAAAGATTCTTTGTCCCCAAGTGCCCTCCTTAAAAAGTGGCTCTATTAAATCACATTCACCACCATTATCACCTTGCAACAGTTTTTTTTTTCTCTGCCTTGAGAATTCACTCTATTAGGAAATTGAATTATTTTTCAAAATGTTTCTGAGAAGGAAATCGGAAACTTCCTACCATAAGTACAGCAGGTACAATTAATTCTTTATGAATTTATACTCACAACCTTTTGTCTCTCTCGGTTATATGGATATACTATTAACTCTTCTAGAGCTTAATTGCTATGTATGTGTGATCAAGTAGAAAATAATTCCATGTTAAGATTCTGGAAAGAGAGTTGATTTAAAGTGGTACATATAGAGTGCAACAAAAGATAGCCTGATTTAAGCAAACAAAGATTAACTGAGGATGATTGTTCACTTTAACCACAATTCTGTGTTTTACAAAAGGACTCACTTTGCAAATATGAAATATATGTGTAAATGTGAAATAACAATGAATTCACCTGGTAAGACTAAATATACAAAAACTCAATTCACTGGTCATAAAATGGAAGACGGCCCTTTCAAAATACTGCCCAACTATGCAATGAACTAGAACATCTGGAAATAAAGCAACATGTCAAGAAAGGGAGAAAAAAATAACAATGTATGGCCTTATTTTCCTCATCATTAAAACAAGAGATTTGGATAGAATGGTCTGTATGACACCTCATACTTCTAAGATGTGTGATTTTAAAAGATCTACATATTCAGACAAGAAAGCTTTTTCCTTTCTTATGAAGAATGAAATGAAATTTGAATGAAAATTGAAAAGTAATTATTGAATTAGGATAATAAAAATTGAGGTGAAAATTATCATCAAAAAGTCTTTACTGTGAATCAAAATGGATTTTAAGCTTTTCCTGAATATCTCTTTCAGGAATAACAGGGCAAGGAAAACAAAAAGCCAAAATATTAATCAGAAGATCAGTTTTTAGGTTGTGGTAAAAGGTAAGGTACAAAAGAATAGTCATGTAGCATATAATTCAGAAGTCAGCTATATTATGCAAAAAAAATCTAGAAACACTGCTTAATATTAAAACAAAAAGTATTTTCTTATGTAGGCCAACATTTAGGGAAAATATTAAGTGACTCAGGTCAGTATTTGCTCTGTGTGTCCTGAAACTGGAATTCTTAAAATAATGCAGGAATCCCTAGGCATTTATGGGACATGGAGAGGCCCACCCTTAATCCCACCCACAAGAGACCTCTAAGAATGGATTAACTATATTAAAAACAAAGAAGGAAAGGTTGAGGGAGTGGATCCAAGGGATAGAAGTCCAAATGAGCATAGAAGCTTGGTCAATGAAAGTGCATAACTTTTTCTTTCCTTTTTTCATTCTCTTTCTCCCTAATTGCTTTCTGCCCCCCCCAACTCCCTTTAATTAAAAAGAGTGGTAGATTTGATTAAAACAATTAAGAAACTTAGATGTTTGAATGCAATAGGATTTACCTTCCCAATGAGTACTTGCTTTCCTTGAAAGGAGCCTTGTTAATAGAAGAACCTCTCATGGGTAGAAAAATATGGGGAAGATATTTTTGAGGGGATATTCCTGGCCTACATTAGGTTGCTGCCTAGTACTCCTCCACAGATTAATTAGTCCTGCTAGGGAGGGAAATGTATGGAGTCCTCATTGTTTAGTAACTCACAGAGGCACCCCAATAACCCCCCTACTCTCTCTTAGTTGTTCTGTGTCCCAAAGAATTCAATAAAAAGGTCAGTACTGGTGGGGAATGAGGATAAAAGTATAGATTGGTACAGGAATTCGCAGGATCTCCTGCGATATGAAGTAAAGAAGTGGTTTAGTTCTTTTTAGAGCCCTTACTATAAGCTCTTCATGGGTGGCAGCATGATGAATAAGATACTACATGTATATTCATTTCATTTGACATATATGTAAATGATGTATAAGATAAATTTAAATATAAATGCCCAGGGACAATACTTGATTGTAAATATTATGCTTAAACTAAAGTGTTTCACATTCAAAATAGAATGCTGCTTATTTGAAGTCAAAAGTTCAGATCTCTTTCCTGATAAGATTGTACTGGCCTCAGACCATGTTTTTATTGTGATTCAGGTGCAAATAACAGGAAGACATATTTTATTCCTATCTTGGGGGGGAAAGGAAGCATTTGTAAAAGGGAATAGTTTATAAAGGGATTGAATAGCCATTATTGCTCACTGTGTATCAGGGGAAAATGTTAAGGCACAAGATTCATGTTTGGATGACCTCCTTGAGGTAGACTGGGAAATTCCTGATGATTCCAGTCCAAAAGGCAGAGTTCCCTTCCTTGATCCTAGAAAAAATGCAGAGCTGTGAGTTACTGTAATAGACCACAGATGGGTGTCCTGGTCCTAGGTGGAAGATTATAATATTTTTGTCAAAAAGTGATCAACACCAAATAGAGGTCCTTTTAAATTATAGATTTCACATGTTGTTTAGGAAACAAGACAAGCTATATTCTATTACAGGCTTGATACTTTGAAATATAGCAGATATATTTAATTCTGATTAACTTATAGTCATATAGAATCTTTTTTTTCTCAAAAGCAAGGGGATAGTGGAATTGGTCATGAAACCATATATAATTTGAAAAAGGATATGACCAGTCCATGCTTAATTTAATTTGAAGCTTTATAGACTGATACTTACGTGTCTTTTTAAAATTATATTTTTGCAGGGCTCATACTTGTTTTAATCGTCTGGACCTTCCCCCCTATCCATCATTCTCCATGCTTTATGAAAAACTTTTGACAGCTGTTGAAGAAACAAGTACTTTTGGACTTGAATGATCTGGCAACCATAGTGCCCAGCCCTTTGTGGATGGGACTCCGTGGAACTTGCCCTCTTGAAGAATGAGTGAACCTTGGTTTGGGAGTTCTTAGAGAATGGTTACTTTATAGTGTGTCTGGGGACTGAGATTCCAAGAACAAATGCTCAGTAATTTCTGGGGCGTATAGGACAGTGGTGACAGAGTCTTCTTGGAAGGATCTGGATAGGCCTGATGTGCAGGGAAAACCCAACAGTCTTTCAATCAACAGTTCTTCCTGACTGCCAAACTTTTTTTTTTCCATTCATTATGTTCCAAGAACAAGATGAGACTGTACAGGATCAACTACATGGTAATTATAAGGACTTATCAGGATCCTGAAACTAGTCCTTGGACTTATTCAAGCCAAACTGTGGCATCACTTGACCCAAACTCCAAATTAGCTAAAGTTAAAGATATAATAAAGAAAAATGTTTCCTGAAAGTACATTAATTTGTGCCCACTGTTATGATAGAACAACCCTTTCTTGCTGCACCCACGACTGAGCACCTGCATGGTGTGCACCATACATTTCGACTTTTACAGAGTTGCCATGAATGGGAATCTGAATCACAGGGAGGAAACTAAAATGGGCTGTCATAAAGCTGATTGGTGAAAATACATATTCAGGTGGGATGTGTCTAAGTACGGGTGGCTACAGATGAGTAGTTATACCATGGATTACTAATGAATTACAGATTTTATGCTTTATAATGCATGGAAACCATTTTTAAAATAGCAATTTATCACATCTATATTAGGAAAAAATACACAGTGACTTCTGTTTATTTTTGTAGGCTCATTATGTTTGTGTTATTCAAATTGTGAATAAGAACCTTGCATATTGTGTCTCATCTCTTCCATTTCCATGCATTGTTTTAGTGTGTATACTTTTAAGTACTCTCAAGGGGGAAAAAATGCCTTTCATTTTTATAAGAGTAAAAAAATTCCCCCAAATATTTTGCACTGAATGTACCAAAGTCAACGAGATGTTACAGTATGACTGACAGCAGCAACTCATTCACTATTAGGAGTAAATAAGGAAGTTTCTTAGAATTCACCTTTCTTCCCCTGGCAATGTCTACCACTACCAAGGCTGGGCACATAAGGAATGTTTTTTTTTTAGACTCATATTGTGTGATCATATAATAAGCATTTATTTTAAATGCACCAGATTTTTTTCCCATTTACTAATTACTTTGGGATAACATTTAAAAGGGATGTTTTCTATTCCTTCTTGTCCCTCCACAGCTCTATATTCATTGTCCAATACTAAGCTCACTTGGGAAGCCCAGAGCATTGTGCAAGAAATCAACACTCTATAAGAGTAACAACAGCAATTTTCCTCGTTCATGGCCACCTCAGGAATTTAAACTGTCTATAATGTGTTTCTAAGCCTGAGTTGTCACTGATGCATAATTTTCTTAAGAATGTTAATTAATTGGTGGTATTTTCTATGGTATCTCACTAACTACATGACATCTGCAATTTTAAGTATGTTTAATTTTACCAAAGTATGTCCTTCACCTGAAAGTCATTTGAGATGTCTCTGCGTTTCTTTGTACATATTTTTATGGTCATAATCTCTCAGAATTTCAGTTGAATGAAGTACATTTGGGGCTGGGGGTGGATAACATAAACATTAGAATAATTGGTCAGCTTAATGTTATTAGAACCTTGCCTGAAACATTCTTTAAGAATTAGATATAAGAACAACTCAAGGGCTCTTATTGTAAAACATTGGAAATTTGGTATGCACTAGAGGTGATGTATTTGATTTTCAAGACAATAATGTTATAACTGGCTATTGTTCAGTTGGTTGGGTTGCATTTACTGTTGTGACCTCCAAGAAGGATGTCATTTATTCCTTGTGGACTGTGTTACAATCCTGCACTGATGGCATGATCTGTTTGGTGGAGAATATCCTTAGAGAGTAAGATCTATTTGTGTTCTGTAAGCTTCCCTGAAAAAAAAAAAACAAGGAAAAAAACAACCAGATTTGGACTTAGAATATTTGTTTGCACTTAGTGAGCACAGTTATAGAGATCATATCTTTAATTATGCAAATAATTATGGCTTCTTTTGTATTGTTTTCCCATGTTATAAAGACAAAATAGTATAGCATACTTTTATGCACATGTTTTTAATCAATGTGTATGAAAATATATTCACAAACTAGTATTTACAATGTAGTCTTTTAACAAAATATCTGATGATCACACTTCTTCAGGAACTACACTCAGTTTTCACATTTGGTATCATTTCAGTTTGTGATACTTTTACTGCTTGCCATAGTCCATAATCTATCAGGTAAGAGATTCAAGTGGAGAGAGAAACAGCTCTTCAGTTATTTTAAAAGCAGATTGCTGTATTAGGTATGTTAACTTCTCCCAAAGTATAGAATTGCTTAATGCATACAAACATTCTTAGACTATCTATTAGAAGCTTTTTTCAGAACTTGGAATTTCTGATGAGCTCCTTAGCATGTTTGCCTAATTTATTCTTCTTCATTAGAAAAGGACAGAAAACACAGAACTATAGTTAAACAAAAACATTCAAGAACATTTCTTCAGAATAAACTAGAAAATCTTTACAAAAGCAGTCCACCACTGAAAACACCCATAAGCATTTTCCCTTCCACAACATATGTGCTCTGATAACCAGGCTTCAAAAAATTCCAAAGTGATGTTCATTTACTATATCAATGGCAGGATCTATATATGTAGTAATTCTCAGTGCCAAATATCTCAGTAAATATCTCTTGGATGGAAACAGATACAAAGCTGTTTTCTAATTTCTTTTAGGTTCCCATTCCATTTCTTCACTAACAGTCCCCCAGATCCTTTAATTGCTATTCATATTTGGTGACTTTGACATGAAATCATTTGTTAATGCAAGTCAAGTCCTGGACAGACAGTGGGCATTTATATTTGACAGTTTCAGGTGCCCCCAGCAGCAGTACTTGGTCTGTGAAGTGGGGTCTCCAGAGAAGGATGAACCTAGTGCATAGGTCTTCAGATTATCAAAATGAAACACCAAAAGAGTCATGTAGTTTCACATGGCTTTGACTGCAGCTAGAGTAGAACATATCTTAAGTTTGAAACATGAAAAGCTGTGTCCTGCCACTAAATGCAGGTCCATTTGGACAGTATTCATTACCTTCATGGTTGCTCACAACATGGATCTCAAGTTTGGCCAGACTTTTCTGGCTTAAAATGAACTCATATTGTGTTCCTTAAATGGTTTTAATTCAACATTAACCCTTGTATTAAGTACTCACTACACAGAGTACAATGCTAGGGCCAGGTGATAAAAATATGAAATATGGCACATTTCCTGCCCTCAGGGTGTTTACAATTTAGTAAGAGAGATGAGATATATACAAATGACTTCACAGTGGGCCTTCCTTCCACTAGTGTGGAACACAGCTTTTCCATGTCCTAGTCAATAGTCTGTCTTCATGAGTTTCTGTGGCCAAAAAATTCGTCACCTGCTGGCCAAATTTCTGGTGATTAACCTTTATGATTATACCTAGGCTGGTCCTCAAACAGTATACATATTATTGTCAGAGATCTACACTAAATTTTTTAAACATAATATTGCTTTAGCATAAATATTTTTGCTACATATTGAAAATTATTATTGAGCCATTTAAAGGTATGTCTATAGCATAAATCCTATCCATTACCACAGGAAGCTCATATCAATATAATGAATCAAAAATATGTGATTGCATATATTAAATGAGACTATAGAGAAATAAGATCAATTTTTGTCTGTGGTTTGTAGAGATATGTGGTATAGTGGAAAGATTCATAGAGTTCAAGTCAGAGAAGCTGGGTTCAAATTCCTACTCTACCACTTACTTTTGTGACCTTAGACAAATCATTTAATCTATCTGTGCTTCAGTTTCCTCATCTTTAAAATGAAGGGGCAGGCCTAGATGGCCCCTAAGGTTCTTTGGGACTCTAAATTATTATCCAATGTGACTCTAAATGTATTATCTTGAGAATATCTTATTCCTATAAACTCATATATTTTACAATCCCTTCTAGAAAATGACAAAATCATTGTGTTAGCCAATATATTCCAACATCAGTGGATTTTACAAGTTGATTGACTTATGCCTCTTGTCTTTTTAAACTATCTTACTAAAATAAGATAGCCTCCTAAAAATATATGTAAATCTACATCCATGAAGGAAAAAAAAACTCTCCAAATTCAATAGTTGCATTTTAATTTCTTTTGGGAGAAATTCAAACCTCAGCCCAATGTTTTATTTTTAGTTGTCCTGCTAAAACACATTGATTCAGTGTTTATGCTCTGACTTCAAACAACAATAACAAAAACTGACACAACTGTTCTATTACATATATGTATAATATATGTACATAACAATTCTCAATGTCATATATCCCTGTAGATATCTATTGGATGGTACTGGAGGCACACATTTTTATTGTTATCATATGATCGTTTCTTTTTAGTTAGATGGAGATACTTCCACTGAAGTCTCTCCCAATTCCTCATATTGATGTGGAAGTAGTCTTGGATTGTCAGCATAATCAAACTCTGGCAAATCCTACCAAGGTGGAAAAGCTTCAAATATGGGTCTAGTGAGAGAATACATGTCTCTCCTCTAAGATCAGCTTAGTTAAAAATGGAGACAGTAATAGAAGGTTAGCTTCCTCAGTCACAGTAGTTCATGGAGCACCTAAATGGATAGAGTGCTAGACCAGGAATCAGGAAGACCTGAGTTTATTATATGCCCACTAAGAAATGAAGATATTGCAATTTGCACCATGGAAGAGAATATCCAATGAAGATAAGATCATGAATCCTTAAGATATTCCAGTAAAGTAATGTGGATGGAAGCCCATTTAACAGCCAACACTCACTTTCCTACAACCAACTTATGCCAAGAGAGCTTCTAATACCTTTTTTCATTGGTGAGATTAGATAAAGGAAATAGGAGTTTTCAAATGTCCTACTCAAACTGTTCTTACTTCTTCATAATATAATCTATCCTAAAAAGCATCTGTTAAACATACTCTAATTATTTATGCTTCTTATTTTTATCCACACAAATGAAATAACAAAACAAAAGCTATTAATGAACCTGCAGTGGTAAACAGTACTGCAGTAGCCCCCTAGCCTGACAGAGGAAACACTTTTCTTTGAGAGAAAAAATATGAGAAATGAGAAAAAATTTCAAAATTTATCCAAAACCCATACTCCATCTCCCACAGGACAGTCCTCTAGTCATATACAATAGGTTATTTCTTTTAAAGTGTATGAAAAAAAGTGCCATGATAGTTTAATGCATTAGAAGTTACTACTAAAAGAGGAAACAAAATATTTTCTGCACATTTTTTGTCCAAACTAATTCTACCAAGGTAAATAACCTAAGTAACAATCAATTTACAACTATTTTGTTTGTAAAATAGGCACACGATAATTACATTCAAATATTTATTTCACCCTAGTGGTTAAAAAAAAAACAACAGAAAGGATTTGGTATAATTTCCAAAAGAAATGAAAATCTTGAACCCTCTTGCTATGTCTCCATGGTCTAGCTGATTTTTAGCAATATTCTAGCAGCCAGTCAATAAGCATTTATTAAGTACTTGTTATGTGGCAGATACTGTCCTAAGTGGTGGAAACACCAACAAAGGCAAAAAAAAAAAAGCTACCTGCCCTCAAGGAGCTCACATTCTAATGGGGAGACAACATGCAAATGACTACAAGTAAAACAGAGCAGGTTGACATTCAAGCATCTTCATTCTTCACCATAGGGTGACTTGGTTGAAGCTCAATTTTTGCTAAAGCAAAATTCCTTTTTTTTTTAACCTGAGAGTTTAATTTTTTAAGAACTCCTTAAGTTCTTCACGACTGCACCCTTTCCCTGGTACAGAGCTGAACACATGCTAGTGACATTAGAGCTAGCTGTATTTTGGCTTAAGGCCAGTTTCTGCCCATTAGGAGGGCATTCAAAATGAGAAATGGAGACAAGGAGCCTAACATTTGAGCCACCCTGAGAATGTAATAGTCATTACTGACCAGCTGTCAGGCTAAGGGAGTAGCAACAGTATTCTATGAGTCTAGCACAAAGAATGTATCAAGGGTGTGTGCTACTTATATCATAGCATTTTTGGACCAGAAAAAACTCTGAACAGATGAAGTGATGGTAAAGACCAAAAGGAGGGGTGGAGGGACAGTGCTAATTTTGTAGCATCTCTTTTTGGTGGAGCAGGGAGGGTTAGCATAAAGTTGAACTTGATTTCTGATTATGAAAAATATACTGTATTGCCTAGTGAGGCCATTTTTTGAAAATCCATCCGTTGGGCAGGGGTGGGAGGGAGGAACACTCATTTTATAACTATAGTAGGTTGGTTATTATATATACTGTACAGCAGAATTTAGCCAAAAAGTATTAAAGCTAGTCATATATTGACCAGAAGGTTCAAAAGTCTAACATTAATATGTATTGTGGGTTTTTTAATTAATTATAATTATTGAGCCTTGCATAGTAAATAAAATGAAAGGGTGGTGCTTCAATACTTTTATTATATTTAATTTATGCTTAGTGGACATTCAATGAGAAGAGCTTTGGGGAAATCATTCAAATCATGTTTTCTAGTGATATCTTAAATTTACCTATTAAATGATATAAGAAATAAAATCTAAGCAGAGTTTAGTTATGAAATGACAAATCAAGATCTGAGCAGTGTTTGTACTTTAACAAGTTAATTAAGATGAAAGGTCTTTCATCCACAAAAGGTCATTTCTTTGTCTTTCATGACTCAGTGATTGAGAAGGATAGGACATTATTTTAATGGAAAGGCCAAAATACTTGTGAGGGTGGTTTTAGAGTATCTTACAAGAGTAAAAGGCTCATTTATACAAAGTTTTTATGTCTAGTGTCCTTGGGCAGGTCAAGTCAACAAGCATTTTATTAAGCACCCGCTATAGGCCAGGCACTGTGCTAAGGCTGTGGTAATGTCTTCCCATCACATCTTCCTTTTGAAATGTCATGACTTTGAAATATATGCCAGAGATGGTGTATGGGTCAAAGTAAATCAGTGATCACTGAAGCAAGGCAGGGACCACCAATGGAACTCTAACTGACTACCACCCTTTGTAGGAAAAGACACATAGGAACATTCTGGAAAGATTAAAGGGGAAACACATGGTATGAAACCCTAATGCTGCAAAATGCTTAATGGTAATGTAGTTATCCTTTGCAGGATGTTCCAAGCAATTCTGGGGGTTGTCAATATGTAGGAAAGTACATAAGATTACATGTTTTTATAATAGGGATGCAGGCATTCCAAAATGAACTCATAAAATCCATGGATCTCCTTCATCTCTTACTGAAAGTATTACTTAATCTAATTTTATAATAAATCTTTCTTTTTAAAAGATTTAAGACACTGTAAAAAAAATTTATTTCTAAGGTTTAAGTCGAGCACTAGCAGTGCGTTTTTTATGCCTTTTCATGCTTTTCTTGCCTCACGTGTCCACTCTTCTACATATCACATGCAATAGCAATGTTTCTATCTTTCAGGGAGTTTGATTTAAGTTGCACATTCATTCAATGTGACTTTTAATAGAGATTTAAAAAACCAATGGGAGATATTTGATAGAAGCATTAAGATTGCACATCTCTCATTTCATCTTTTATCAGTTAAATTTCATCTTCTTTCTTCAAGGCAAATACAGCAAATTGTAAAACATACAGGAAGTGGTTCATGGGCAATATTATATAAAGCCTGTGACTTTGAAATGTAATATAATGTTTGCTTTCTGGGAAATTTGTATACTGATCCTCATCTGAATATCTGACTCTTGTGTTGTATTTTTTATGATTCTAAAATGCTTTGAGGGAAAGATATTTTAATGTGTACAATTTGTTTTATTTTCATACTGATCTCTATTTTTGTTTAAAACCATGTTGCATCATAAAATCATTTAATCCAAAATAAATCTTCTTTTATGAAAAGGAACTTTAAATTATAGTTCTTCTGTTATACTTCTGAGGAAAAATTACCCTAGAGTTAGTAGCACAATGCAGGGTCACAGGAGGAAGCTGTTTCCCATCCAGGCAATTCTGTGTCTTTACAATGAATTGCTTTCTGCTCCCTTCCTGGTGCCCTTCATCTAAACATTGCAATGTGTTTTGTATCATTGAAAGAAAGCCATAAGACTCAGCATTTTCAATAATATTAATTGCTTCTGTATTCACATGTTGAGTGAGCAAAAACCCAGGTTGGGGCTGCTGGATCCCATAATCTTGCTGGAATTAAATCATCAGTTCAGGGTTTATCTCTTTTAATTTAATCAGTGTGGCCATGTACACATCAAGGCCATCACCAATGAAAACATCAGAAGAAAACAGAAAGGTTTTCACAAGTAATTTTCTGCATACTTCATTATGACCACAGAACTGAAAAGTATAAAGAGGTGTTTGCTGTTTTCTGATTTTAAGAAAGCATTTTATACTGTAGATCAAATTTCAACCTGGAAGGCTCTCCTCAAACAAGATGTTTCTCACCTACATATCAAAGTCATATAAGTTAGTAACAGGATACAACTAGAGAGATAATTTTATTTATCTATGTAAAACATTTTGCCAAATGTGCTTATCAGTACAAGAGATAACATCCTGGGTAATGTCTAAGCAAAAGAATTTCCTATTAATGCTGAGTCTCTTCACATACTATTTGCAGATAATATGGTATTGATAATTAATATGGTACTGTCAATCCCTAAAATATTACAAAGCTTCCCTAGTGAAATCCATAGCAGTATGAAAGAGATCAGACTAACCATCCACAAAGGAAAATGAAGTGGATGAAAAATATGCAGTTTCAAGTCTATGACATGCAGCTATAGAGGCCACCCATTAGTGCTTCAATATGTTTAGTGTAGCCAAGTGCAACAGATGAATAATGGACTAGGTTCAGAAAAGAGTAGTAGTTGGAGATGAGATTGATCACATTTGGAATACTGCAATGTTTTCAATGAATCATAAATCTTACATTTTTATCACCAAATCCTCCAAAGATGCTTCTTTTGTCTTGAAGTTACATAGCACACCTTCAATGACACTGGCAAAATGCCTTTGGCTGTGAATGCAGAAATACCACAGTCTCAGGAGAATTAAATACAATTACAAATAGTCCAAAAGGCAATGGAAATATGCAAGTTGGGCATCAGCAAGCTGAATGCTTTGCCAACAATGACTTGCATACAATAAATGTCATAAAAGACTATCAAGGATATGTATGAGGGAGAAAAGGAAAGTTTCTCATTTTGGGGAATGATAGATGGATAGATAAACAGTCTGAGTGTTAACAACCCTATCCCTGAAATATCAAAGAACTTCAGGAAAGTCTCCAGTATGCTGGGTGATCTATAGGTAAATATGTAGAATTGGCAGAGCATGAGAAGGCATACCAATGAAATCATGGAATCATTAAAGAAGCAAAGTCTTCTGTGACGATCTCCTTACCTGTTCAACACCTTTCTGGATATTAATACTTAGTAACAAATCCATCAGTTTAATTGTTTCACTGAAATTTCTGGTTATTTAACTGAATTGACTAAATTGTGTATTTGATTTGGCAGTCAGAATGTGGGAAAGAGGCTGGGTAAGAGGAAGAAAAGGCTTTAAGGAACATTATTCTTTGAACCCAGGCATAAATGATCTTATTCTCTTGTATGTTTTAATTAAGTTACCAGGTAAGTCCTTAGAGAATATTCTTAGCTTACTGGTCTCATCCTGAAAATTAGCTCTCGCTATGGCTTTATGTGAGTTTAGAGGTTCCCTCATTACAATTCAAGCTTCCTCCTAACAGATGTACAACAGACTCTGCCATTAATCTCTTTATTGTATTTCAGACCAAAATGACACTTAAGGCTTCTTGCAACAGCAATAAAATCTGGAAGACTTGTCAAATGTGAGTCCTAGTTTATGATACTATTACTAGAAGAGATAAACAAAATACTGAATCTACAGAATTTACTGTGTCCACAGAAGTTCTCTGAACCCTTTAACCCCATTATACTTAAGCAGTGATAAATTTGTTTATTTTCATTATGCTCTTTCCATAAGAACTTCAACATGGTCACAGACCTGTGTCTCCCCCAATACTTAGCATGATGCATTCCATGTTACAGGCAATGAATGAATAAATGTTTCCTGAAGGCTGAATGAACAGTGCATATCACCTTCCTATATGTAAGTATTCCTTCTACCACCCTGAAAATTTCCCCAGGCACTTTTTTTTCAGTCACTTTCAGTTTTATTAATGTGTCTTATTTTTACATTATAGATACTATACCACTTCATGAGAAATCTCTTATAACAAAGAAAAATAGTTAACCAAAAACTAACAATAAATAATATGGTAACCTCATCTGAAAATACAAGTAATATTTCAAATCTGTATTATAGCCCACACAAAATCTTTATTTTTTTTAAAATGAAGAAATAGATTTTCTCTCCCTTCTACCCTCCACCACACTGTAGAAAAAGAAAAGAAAAGAAAAACAAATTTCTTGTAACAAATATGCAGTGTCAAGTGAAACAAATTCCTTAATGGCTGTATACAAAAATGTGTGTGTGTATGATTCATCATCTTATTTAACTTACTTCCTACCTTTCAAACCAGTTCTTACTTTCCTGAGATTAGAAATGATTCCTTTTTTTTTTTTTTTGGTACTTCTATGTCTTTTGTTTGAAGTATTTCTTTCTTCTCAATCTGGTATTTCAGTTATGATTTACATTGTAAGCTACAGCTAATATTGGAATCAGAGCAAGGATAAATGTTAATCATGTACATTTGACCAAATAAATATGATAAAAGTGATGTATAGGAGACATAATTCACTAATGTTGATATATTTCTTTTCCAAAAAAAAAAAACAAAAAACCAATTAGATGTCCAGAAGTTGTAAACTGATACTTTACCGATAATAATAATTTAGAAGACCTCAGCTGGAGGTTTCTGTAAACACAAATGATTGGGAGCATATATTTCCTTGGCAGTATATATAATCCACCTATTAAAATCATGACCTCTGATTACTGAGTTCCAAAATGAAGTAGTAAAAAGACTTCCTTCCGGCCCATAAAATACATGGGAGCCATATTTGAACAACTAGCTTCCCAGAATAATAAAAAATATCAGCCTTTCTATTATATATCAAATGATGATGCTAGAAAAATTTTCTCTTCTCTCAATCATCCTTTCTGTAGTATCACTCATGATTATGTCTTGATGGTAGAAGGCTAATGAGAGGCAGAGCAGAACCGCTAAATTTACTCAAAATCCATCTGATGCTATGTGGGCGATTCAGTTACAATTATCTTCAACTTCTACCATATTTCTTATTGGTCTGAATATAGGATACCCCAGGGAAATGTCGCACCCCTAAAATGAGATCTTTCTGAGAGAAATAAAAATACTAGTGTACAACAGAAAAGTAATGGTGATTATAGGTCACCCTCAGGTTTAAAACAAAACAATTCTGGGAGGCAAGTATGGTCTATAGTCAGACCAACATTGAGACATATAATGGTGATTGTAAACTGTTAAAATCATCCAGCTACAATTAATCTGCATCATGCCCACAGGTCCTTATACTTAAACAAAACCAAAACCTTTCATAGCCCTAATCACAACAAACCCATATTTAAATAACATGGAAGGATTGCTTAATCTTCTTGTGCAATTTTTATACATATTTCCCCACAAATCCTCCTTAAAGGGTCAATAAGTTATCAATCAACAAGAACTTATTAAACTCCTGTCATGTGCCATATATTTTACTGGATGCTGGGGGTGTCAATACAATAAATAATCCCTACTTTAAACCCTCCTTCTCCTCATCAGTGTCAACATTAGCTCACCATCAAGTTCAGTGAATGTTAAGGAGTTCCTGGATCTTTGGCCTCAGTTGATGTTAGTCATTGATGGGAGACCAATGGAGATATAAAGAGCCCTGAATGTCACCTTGGCTCCATTGTGGTGTACTTGTCAGTGCCTGCAAAGTACAAATTTATCCAGCCATTCTGTGTGCTGACACAGACTGTGGCCACTCTAAAAGCACTGCTTGGTCTCCTTGGAAGAACCTTGCTCCTGAAAAGGGAGGAAGAGACTGTAAGGATTGAAGCTAAGCATTATGTGTCTGTCAGTTGGAGTGGCCTTGTTTAATGAGGTGACTACAGCCACTTCTACCAACTTTGAGCTTTGGAGATCCCAAGGGCACCTCAAACTGCTTGTCTGATCTCACAGAATGATCTTTTTTACAGGTTTGAAGGAAAAATACACATGACTCCATTCTCGGTTTGTTTTAAAATATCCTGAGGATGGCCTTGTTCTGACATTAGGAAAGCATGACCACCTAGTAATCATCAGTAGATAGAATGGTGGAGCTGGGGTCAGAAAAACCTCAGTTCAAATACACTTACCAGCTGTGTGACCCTGGGCTTAACCTCACTTGGCTTCAGTTTCTTCTCTGTAAAAATGGAGACAGTAATAGCACCTACCCTTCAGGGTTGTTGTTCAGCCCTGGAACTCACACCTTATCAGTACCCTCTGCCCCTGGCGCCCCTCTCTCTTATTGGAGAGTAGAAAGCTCCTCCCAGAACTTCCATTGAAGTACCCCAGGTCAGCCATCATCTCTTCATTTCCCACCTGGAGGCAATCCTCCAGATTTCTCTATCCTGTCCCTGTATATAATAGTTTCTAGGTCCCCTCCCTCCCTTTGCAGCTTCCTTTTATGTCCTATCTTCCCCTATTAGAATGTAAGCTCCTAAGTGCAGGGACTGTCTTTCTTTTTGCTTGTATTTGTACTGCCATTACTAAGCACAGTGCCTGGTACCTAGTAAATATTTCACAAATGCTGGTTGCATTGACTTGAGGACAAAATGTTAAAAAAAAAAAAAAAGTGAAGCACTTTGCAAATTTTAAAGTGCTATATCAATCCTAGCTAGTAT